CACATTTGGGCAAATCCCCTTGGTGGTTAGTTATAAACTGTCTAACCCTGCAAGAAGACAGTTTATTTCTTTTTGTGTTACAGAAAGCCCCAGTCTTAATGTTGGAGGATAACATACAGTCAGGTAAATAGATTAATTATGTCTACTATAACCACATTGTATTATAAAGACTCTTTGAAGATAACATGTAGAAAAAAACACGGTCTGGGACACAGGTGGAAACCTCTCTATTAAGCTCATCTATCAGTAACATTACAGATAACATTATTGTAATTTAGAGTAATGGTTCAAAATGTGCAGTCCACAGATGCTCGAGGGTGTTCATGAATCCATCTAAAATTCAAGGGTGGGCTAGATAGATCTGTTCAGAAAAGGGAGAAAGCAAGAAAAATGCTGGGGACTTCCCATTATAGTCATGCCAACTCTAGTTTTAAATTATTACACAGTGTTATCATGCTATTGCCTCTGCCAGCTTTGTTAGGAAATCACGTGTTTTTGTATTATCACCTCCAATTCTTGGCTGAGGTGTAAGAGAACCCAGAGGTGGAGGGGAGGCAGCATGGCAAGTCTCACTGAAGTAATGGGCTCTGAGTTCCCTCTTAGAATCTGAACCTTACCATTCCCTGCTTAAAAAACAAAACAAGACAAAAACCACCAGGTACCATACATCCGCTCTCAAGATATGAAATGACAAAAAACTGGAAATTAGAAGACATGCAAGTCAAAGAATGGCTTTACAGTGGGAGGGCACAGTTTTTACTTGCAATGGCAACCATGAATATATAAATGTGACACCTAAAAGTTTATAAAAGCACTTATTTATATAAGATTTCTTAGAGTCCTAGAACATCTCTTTGAGGTGATTTGGTCAGCAAAGGTCCCCATTCAACAAGTGAAAAGAAAAGAAGTGAGGCCCAGAGAAGACTGATTTGTTTCAACACTGGCATTAGTCATAGCAAATCCACATCCTCCACACCTCACCATTTTCACTGTACCAAGCGTATGGTCTATAGGGTTTTTGTTCAATTAATGTAATCCTGGAAAACAGTTCAAGCCATTGTTCTTCAATCTCAAATATACGTCATAAGTCATTTATATTTATTACAGACTTAATAAGTTCCATAAAATCATATCTGTTCATATGATATAATATGCTATTTATTCAATAGCCAATTAGATATAATGAAAACATACCAACCTAATTACACAAGAAAGCAGGAAGATGGCAGAACACAGAAAAAGATGATAATCCTCTATGAAAATTTGAATATAAATTTGTCGTTGAATAAATGAATGAAAATATAACTAACTTAATGATATTTACTGTGTCACATTTGCTTGACTAAGAAAGATAAATTATCCCATAAAAGGATTTCCAAGTATGTAGATGCTGGTGCATGTATTAGAGAGATACACTGGGAACAAAGAACAAGCAATTAATTTAACAACAAATTGTCTCCAAAAGTTGAATTAGAATTCAGACTTATTTTCACAAAGGAATATTCTAAATTGGGGGGTTTTGAGGTTACCCACAGAAGCATGTTCAGGCCACATGTACTTGAACTATAGCAGTAAGACCTTTATGGAATCTCAGTATCATTTAAAACATTGCTGCTAAAAGATGGGAGTTTAGGGTACAAATTCAAGAGGCCAGAGACTCATCAGTACTTCTAAGCCCTACCCTCTGATGTTTCTTCTTGACCTCCTTTCCGTGTATCCTCCCTTCTGGTCTCTGCTCCCAGCCAACACTAATAACTATTTGTTGAATACTAGCAGAAAGCAAGGAACAGTACTGTACCCTCCCTTTCACCTGGACAGCAAGCTCAAAGGTGGTCTGCAGTGGTAGCAAACTCTCGGGCAAGAGAAACAGAGCAGAATAGAGGATGACAGTGGTGGTGGCCAAGGAATGATGAGGTGGCTCCAGTGGAAAAAGGCTCTGCCCCAGTAACAAACAATTCAAAGATAGGGGTCATTTGGGAGTCAGGCATTAATATTTTGAAAACTTCCTATCTTGTTTCTTGAGCAGAGTTCTAATGAGTAACAGTAGCTAATGGCTGCAGTGTGGCTATATGTGGCCCATCAATTTGCTACCCTGAACTGAAGAGTCCTCTCAAGCCACCCAGAATAAGCCACCATCTTCTCTTATCTGGACCACTGCTACAGTCTCCCAGCTCGTCCCCCTTCTTCTATTCTTGCCACTCCCCTCCTTCCACACACCCATTCCCTCCCACACATCACGCCTAACCCAGCAGCTGGAGTGATCTTTCTAAAACATTAATCCAATCATGTCACATCCTGTTGGAATAAGCCAATGGTTTTCAATTACCCTTGAAATAAAATCCAAATTATTGGCTGGAGCCTCAATAAGGCCCCATCCACTAGTACCTCTGATTTTATTTCCTACCTCTCTCCCCCATGCTCTTACATTTCGGCCACGGGATTCCTGCTGGCTCCCACCCTGGGAGGGGCGGTTATACTTATGGTTCCCTCTACCTGGAATGTTAGTCAACAAAATCTTCTACACAGCTCACCATTCTAGCCTCTGTTCCAATGTTACCTCCTCCCAAACACCCAATCAAAATGTTCTTCCTCCATCACTTTCTAGCTCACTACCTTATTTTATTTTCTTCAGAGCACTTAATATCTGATATTGTATTATTAGTCTCTTTGTTAGTTCCACAGAGCAACAACTTTGTCATTTTTTTTTCTTGAAATGGTCTAAACTAAGCAAACAACCCTCTCCTAAACTTCTAAATCACTCCATTGTATTTCAAGGGTCATTCCTATACACCCCACCCCATGCCCAAACACCCTCTACACATATACTTTAATAAAATGGTCTCCAACACTCAGTTAATATTATAACTGCACACATTTATTTTGTATTTGTTGTAATCAAGTGCTCATGAGGGCGCTTTAGCAGCAGAGGTTTTGTAAAAAGTTATCCTGAGTTTATAGAGGAGAGGAAGGGATGACCAGTGATCATAAGCTTACCAAGCTCTCAAAGCTTCTTCCTTCCCTATAGGGGGCACCATGTACCTTCCAGTGGCCTTCTTTCAGTGCCCACACAACCTGATAAGAGAACCCCAAAGCCATATTCCAACAGCAGCAGCTAATCCTATTGTCTTCAGAGCCCCTGATACTAACATCCAGAAAAAGATCAATGCCAAAATGCCTGGAACTTGTCTTAATAAATCCTCTGTGGGATGAAGCTGACTTGGACAAATCTAGCATCTCTGGGATTCTTGCCTACATTTGTGGTTGAAGACATAAACTCTGGAGCCAGATAGCCTGAGTTTGAATTTCTGCTTTGCTACCAACTAGCTATTTGACCTTGGGAAGTTAATTATCCTCACAAACACCAAGTGGTCTGCAATAAGGGAACCTGAGTCCTGTAGAAATGACTTTTCAAAAAGTTGGGTTTTTTTGTTTGTTTAGTTTACTTCTCTGAAAAATGGGGATCATAATAGCACCTATCCTTAGGGTTCTAATGTGGATTGAATGAGTTAATCTATATAAAACACTAGCTATTATTATTATGAATCCTCAACAAAATATTTTGCTTTCCCTAGAATAACTAATAAAGGCCTCCAAACTAGTATATATTTAAATATACATAAATGATCCTCTGAATCCTTGGAAACAACATATATCTAAGAGAAGATCTCTTAAGGCAAATGAACACAAAAGAAGGTACTCTATTTACTGATTTTCTGTCTAGGGAGGCATCTCAGAGCCCCTGAAGCTGTGGTGTTTAAACACTGGAGCTTCCCACACAATGACGGGGATTTCTGAGCAGCCAGCACAGGAAAGAAACCATTGCTAATCCTCAGACTCTCACAACAACAACCAATTCTACATTTGACTGAAGTCAGTGAAATATATGACTTAAAGATTTTTAAAAAGCTTCTTCTTTGCACATTTCTATAAGATTTTATTTCTCTTACTGAAGAAAACTTAGTGGTCATCCACTGACCATCTGATTAACACACTATTATGCACAAAGCACTTAGGAAACAGAACTATGTAAAACATGAAACTTTAACTCCAGTAACCAACAAAGGCACCTGGTAGTGCTTTCAAAAAAATATCAAGCCAGGGTTGGAAGAACTTTTAACCCTGAAATACGTGTCCTTTAAAGCCAAATAAAATTGAAATAATCTCACCTGTAAATAGCTTTGCGATCATGAAGTACTCTTATTTAATGTTTGTATACTGCGTTATAAGCACCCAAAACTGCTCGGGTCAGACCAGAGCTATTAAAATTTCCAAAACATAGTTAATTTCATCCATGATTTCCCAAATTTAGCAGTATCATTTTATAGCATTCTAATGGCTCCAAAAGACCGATACAATTTTTTGCGCTTTTATAGCTATCAGATTTAAATGAGTAGTAAGTCACAGGAACAAAATTATTAACATCTAACATGAACCAGAACAGCATAATTATCATAATTCTTGCCTTTACATAGCTATCAAATTTTCAAAGAACAACATTCGTATAAACAATTACCTAGGACTGGCTTGAAGATTATGTGATTTGGACATTTTTCAAAAGCCTGCCATTTGAGACAGACATCACAGCACCAATCCCAGAATTCTTTATTAACTTTGCATCAGTGCTATTAATTTCATTCTTAAGATGCTCTATATCCTTGGGTATATAGAGTTTCAACACATTATTTAATGAAAACTGCTTTCCCTCTATCAGTATCTCACCTTTATTACAAAGAAGAAAATTTCCAACAACTGACTCCTAACTCCATTTCTTCAGGTTAAGGAACACGTGATTATACAAAAGAAATAAAAGAAATTTGAGGGGGATATTATAAAATTAAAAAAATCTATGAGGAAAAAGACAATGCTTCTTCAAACACCCCAAGCTAAGTCTTACTGAAAGAGAACCAGTCATGTCTTGAAATTGTATATCACAATACTTTCAATTAATTTGAAATTAGAAACACTTTAATAAGAAAACTCTGTCATCCTCTGTGGCTTACCTCATCATCTTTGTACCAGGACAAGCTTTCAGCAGTAAGGACAAACCAGTATCCCTTAGAGCCTCCTTTCATGATGCCGATGTTGCTGATGGTTAGCCACCCCTTGCGAATCACCTACAAGAGAGCACAGATTGGCAGAGATGTTTAGTTTAACATGAGCCAATGGAGAGCACAGGTCTTGTACCAAGTGAAGTTAAAAACAAGACATAAATTGCAATAAGAACAATGCTGTTTCCCCAAAGCCCAACTTCTATTAAGCTACTCAAGATAATTTATCTTCCCAAACTACAGATAACCAGAGGGAAATCTCTCCCATCAAATGAACCAAGTTAAAATTGCAGACTTAAATGGATGGTAGAAGCAAAGCAACTGAACTAGATAGGAATTAAATGAGGCAGACCAGTAGGCTTGTGCTGAGACGATTTATGGCATTGCTGCTACAATTAAAATGTATTTAGTTGATTGGATGAATAATAAACTCTCCATGCCCAGTGCCTGTTCTCCTTCCAGTCCACTGGTCCATTTGTTTGCCTGGTTTGCATCACATTATTATTTCCACCAGAGACTGGCCACCAAATGGTGAAAAGAAGAAACTCAAGTCAACCAATTAAGTTCCTTTTTAAGAGCTCACAGCTCTGAATAAAACTGGATGAGGGAGAAAGCTGAAACAATAAGTGAAAATTAAAAGTTTGGAGTTTCTTAATGGTCTAGATTTATCCATCTACTTCTGGTTGTTATTTGTCATGCTAAAAAATACGGAGCATCTTCATGAAAATCTTTAAACTGCTTTTAAATTTTAAAACATTAATAACTTGGATTACAGCTTTTATAGAAACTATTTATAAATGCATTTAAGTGAAAATCTATTTTTTTCTCATAGTTGCAAAGTTAAATTCAATTTTCCACATGGCATAGTTTACTATCTCCCCTGGGCTAGATAATTTTTGTTGTCATAGAACCCAAAATGAAATACTGTATAGAATTATACGATACTATTCTAAATACTAAAAATCATCCTATACCTAAAGTGTTCAATATCCTAGAGATCCTGAATTATCAAAAAAATTTACTTACTGAATGACCGATGCATGTCAGTTCCTAAATGAAGATGAAATACCCGAATAATTAGATTTAAAAAAAATACTGATAGTAAATTTTCTTGCTGAAGAAGGTAAGTCAATACTAGGGAAAATTGTGAAATAAGCCAAAGTTGTCTTATTGATCTTCAAGACTCTCTCCACACCCTCGGTCCCTGACACCCTTGATTCCCTGTTTCAACTTTTCCCAGGTGTCCATTCTCCTTTAGAATGCTCCGTAACTTCTGTAGACCTCTATATAGAACCTCATTTTAGACTATGTAAGCTACTGACTAAGGCAGTTCTCTCAGTTGTTCAAAATTACTCCTTCCTCTTCCTCTCTAGTTCAGAAAGAAGGAAACAACATTTCTCAGAGTATGGTTTCTATCAGCTATATTATAATCACTGTGATGATTTCTAAAAATACAGATTCTCGGGCCATCACCAGTTCAAATGAATCAGAATATGTACATATGAAACCCAGAAATCTATATTTAAACATGTATCCGAGGTGATTATCATCCATACTGAAATTTGATTGCCATTGCATGTACACATACAAACAAAACGTCACTCTGCTAGAGCAAGTAATCTCATCTAATTTCTAGGAAGAAGCAAGTGGACAATTCATTTCATGCTAACACTGTTATCAACCCTATGAACTTACAAATAGCATACTAATAACAGTACTAAAATGAAAGTACACTTATTATTTTATCATGTATCTTTAGAGACAAGGGAAGTCTCCCAGAAACTCCATAAAGTGCAACGAGCAAATCACTATTTCATTCACTGGTAAAACAGGCGGGCTCCAGTAAGGAGAGCCATGAATGTAGTCCAATAAACATTTCTAAGGAACCTATCATATGTCAAGATGAAAAAGGCATGATGATGCTGTAATCCCTGCCTTCATGAATCTTATGTTTTAGTGGGGAATGCAGATCAATAAAAATATAATTTCAGTCTAATAGTGTAATAAGAAATGTATGTCAGGCAAGGAGCACTTGACATAATTCGGGAAGTTGTCATAGGCTTTCTTTGAAGAGATGGTACCTCAGAAGAGCCTAGAAGAGAAACAGAATTAGTCAGGTCAGGAAGTAGTTTGTTTACCTATTTGTTTATCTATATGAAGAAGAACAAACAAGAACAAAATATGAAAGAGCCACTAAATACAGAAAATGTGAGGTGGGGATGAAGAAGTTGAGGTTGGGGAGGTAGGTGAGGTAAAGTCAGAGTGGATCCGGGTCCATGAGACCCCAAATTTTAGTGATCTCACTCCCCCTGGCAGTACTAAAACAAATTTCAAGTACACACATAATTTTATTTTTAAATTATATATGACTACTGTGTTAATAAATTATGTACATCATATAGAAATATACAGAGAATTTTTTAATTCTGCATGAAGACAAAATAAGTAATATTAATTTTTTTATTTTGTGGGGAAAATATATTTTATGTCTTATATTTACACTTTACTATTGACTTCTCAGAGCAAGGGTGCTGGCGTCAATATGTATATTAAATGTTAATAAATCTGAATTGTTTTCTTATTTTCTAGATAAAAATACATATAAGTAGATGTTCTACTATATCCTCCTTTATTCTAGTGGATCTTACACACTCTCTAAGGCAGAGAAACCAGATTATGTAAAGCCATGATACAGTAAGGATGAAAATAAATAAACTTACTGGAGAAATACCTCTGAGATAAAATCAACAGGACTAACAGCAGGGTAAGAGAGAGATTACTGGAGATAAAGACTCGAAAACTGCTCTGTACAGAAGCCACTAGCCACACATGGTCACTGGGCCCCAGTGAATAGTTTCAATTCAGGTGTTCAATAGTGTTAGATGAAACCTGGATTTTGAGAAGTTAGTACCAAAAAAATGCAAAATACCTCATTAAATGTTTGCAGATTTATCATAGTACTATTATATTAGATATACTGGGTTAAATAAAATCAATTTTTAGTAATCATTTCACTGTTTCATTTTTTTAATGTGGCTGTCAGAACATTTTAAATTATGTATGTGGCTTATATTATATTTTTATTGGACATGGTGCTGTTCTAGAAAGATTCTGAAACTCTTGGGACTACCACCTCAGAAGGAAGAGAAGAGAAGAAGAACCAAGTTTTGTAAAGTAGGGGAGTTGATGACGAATTCAGCCAAGGCCATGTTGAATATGAGGTACCTATGGGAAATAACACATTCAAGTGACCCGACCTCTGAAGAAAAATGGGTATGTCAGGACTAGAGATGAAGACTTGCAAGTCATTAGTGTGTGTGTGTGTGTGTGTGTGTGTGTGTGTATCAGTTAAAACTTTGAGTGAAAGAGCAGCGGCTCACAGTGGAATCCAGGGAAATACCAACATTTAAGAGGTGGTCAGAAAAGAGCCTGAAAAGGAACGTCAGAGAAATAACAGCAATGAGGTCATGGAAGCCAAAGGCAAGGTGAATTTTAAGGACAGTGTGGTTGGGAGAGTCAAATTCAACACACACAGGGATGTGTCAAGTGCAACACAGACATCATAGTGTCTTCAGCTATGCCAGTTGCAGTGCAATGCTGGGAGAAGTCAAAGCTCATTGGGTTGAAAGGTGAATGGGAAGTAAAAAATGGAGATGATGATTGAAAGAGCTCTAACCATAGGAAGATGAAAGACAGTTAAAATCAGAATAGACACAGGACCAAAGGAGGTGATGGTGTTATTGCTGATATTTTGTTGTTGTTGTTTTGGGGTTTCTTTTTTTTTTTTTTTTAGTATAGAAAAGAATTGAGCATATTTATGATTTGTGGAGAAATAACAGTACAAAGTAAGAGACTGGTGATAGAAGAAAAATGATAGAAGGATAAAGAAGATAAGAATGAAAGATAAAGAGTATAGAAAGGGACTGTCCTTGAACAGAAATGGAGCTGCCTCATCTTGTGAATCTGGGGATGTTGGGAAAGTAAGGGCAGATATATGTCCTTTGTGGGGAAAAGGATAGAAAGTTTTTAGAGAGGTTATATTTGACCTTTCCATTTTACTTCATCAGAATAGAGACTAAATGATCTGTAGGAGAGTAAGGGTGAGAAGTTGGAAAGAAGGCTTAATGAGAGCACTGGGACAATCGGTCATTGAGAAAGGGGGGGCACCTGGATTGCTCAGTCAGTTAAGCATCTGACTCTTGGTTAGGGCTCAGGTCATGATCTCAATGTTGGTCGTAGTTGAGCCCACATTGGGCTCCATGCTCAGTGTGGAGTCTGCTTTGGATTCTTTCTCCCTCCCCTTCAGCCTCTCCTCACACTCTCTCCATCTCTCAAATAAATAAATAAGATCTTAAAAAAAAAAAAAAAAAGAGAGAGAGAGAGAGAAGGAACATAACAAGAATTAATAAAAAATGGCTGGCAAAACACAACACCATAGAACTCATAGACGATAACATAGAAAAAAGTCTAGAAGACTTTGGGTATAATGACATCTTTCTAGACGCAGAACCAAAGACACAACCCATGCAATAAATAACTGATAAGCCAGACTTCATTAAAATTAAAAACTTCTGCTCTTCAAAAGACAGTGTCAAGAGAATGAGAAGACAAGCCACAGATTGGCACAAGACATTTGCAAAAGACATATATAATAAAGGACAGTTATCCAAAATATACAGAGAACTCTTAAAACTCAATAATAAGAAAACACACAACCTGATTAAAAATGGGCCAAAGACTGTAACAGATGCCCCATACAGATGGCAAATAAGCATATAAAAAGATCTTCCATATCATATGCCATCAGAGAAATGCAAATTAAAACAATGAGATACCACTACACACCTAATAAAATGCCCCAAATCCCAAAAACTGACAACACCAAACGCAGGATGTGGAACAACGGGAATTCTCAGACATTTGCTAGTGGGAATGCAAAATGGTACAGCCACTTTGGAGGATGGTTTGGCACTTTCTTATGAAACTAAATATATTCTTACCATGTGATCCAGAAACCATGATCCTTGGTATTCACCCAAAGGAGTTAAAAATTTATATACACACAT